GCTAATCCTAGGTCTTTTCTTTTCTACCTGCCTTAAGCAAGAAAAGCCAGATGTAACTTTTTATCCCTTCATTGAGGGACTGAAAGGGGAAAAGAGGGAAGCTGAGGGGGTTATGCTCTGTTCTTAGAGAGACGGTGGTTTGGAGAGGCAATTGGGCATTCCAGGCTGTGGCCTGATTCTATTGCTAAACCAGCTATGAGGCCTATGAGGCCTAGGATGAGTCCCTTCCCTCCCCAGATGTCCTTTCCCCTCTCTGGAATAAGGACCATGACAAGGGGAGAGGCTCTCTGGTGCTAAGACTACTGTCCCTCTCCACTTTGGCATCCATCTCTGAAAACTTCACATCTTCTGCCTGTAGGACCCAAGTGTTCAAGAGGCTTCAAAATGCCTGGTATCTGGTTTCTCTTCCCCTCATTTCACCCTCCTTTTTCAGATGGAGGGCCCCATATGCTATGGAGACTTCTTTAAAATCATCATAGCCAGAAATGAGCCACTTTTCTCAGATCCCTAGCTCCTCAAGCTAACTGGGGGAGGGCTTCTTACTATTGCTTGCTTCAAGGTGTTAGCATGTTTTAAACATGGCTCCCTTGATAAAATGACAAGAATTCCAATTCTACATGACAGTCTGTGCATGTTTTGGGTCTCGGGGAAGCACAGGAGGGGGTGATGTAAGCAGGGAAGAGCCTGATCACTGAAGAACTCAGGGCTACAACCTTCCCCACTCTGCAAATGCATGGTGAGCCAGAGGCACACACTAAACTGAAGGACATTCTTGCAGCTGGTCCAGAGGGGAGCCAGGTTTTGACATGTGAAAAGCATCAGCTTCCTGTGTGCTAAAGAGGGGCTCCTATGAAATCATAGGAGATGTACTTCCCATTTTAAGACACCCCATTTCCCTCCTTTCTTAATGTGGGATATTTGTGGGGCCAGATTCACCCACTAACCCCACACGGATAGTGAAAAGTAGCTTCTCTGAAAGAGAGAACAGACTTAACACCTACCACTGAGTGAGCCTCAGATGAAGAAACAGGGAGAATAATGTTGGGAGTCATGGAAAGTTCCAGAGGCCAGAGCCAGAGCAGCACTGGGTGGAACCAAGGGAGCGCAGGTCAAGGAAGGCGGGAAATTCCAGCCAGGGCAGGGTGTCAGGTGACAGGGAAATTCCTTTGAATCTACAGCCAAGGCCCTGGGAGGGCACAGAGTACTCCACCTGCAGAGCTGGGTTCAGATCCTTCAGAGCCTGAGACAAGCTGGGTGACTATACAGGACAGAGGAGCAGGAAGTAGGATCCTCCAGCTAAGAATCCTACCACGTAAAGTAGCAGGTTCTGCCTGCAGCTCCTTTTGTTAGGGCCTCCTAAGAGCAGAGAGGGAACAACCCAAGCCTAGAGGAGAGCCAGATTGAGAAGAGAGGCTTGGAGCTCAACCATGGTTATGGCATTGGCATCAGCCCAGAGGGAGGTGGTGACTAGACAGACCGACAGTGTGTGTGGGGAAGGCAGTGCCATCTGTCCTTTGTTGAGCCCTTCCTCTTCTTCCCAGCTCACCCCAAAAGATGAGGAACTCTGGGCATCTCTTTACAAATAGTGCCATACATTCATTCATTCATTCATCCGTTCAGTCAGTTAGTCAATCATTCTATAATTGCCAGCTTGCTGAGCAGCTACTACCCACCAGGCACCGTGTGAGGATGTAGATGAGCTAATGGCCATAAGCACACAGGGAGAGGCTGATCCAGGACTCAAGTTCACAGGAGGTGACCCAGCTGAAGCCAACAGGTGCTCCACAAACACTTAGGAGTATGTTTGAGGCCAGAGGAGGGAATGAGTTGGAGGAGCTATCCACACATCTGGGTTCTAAACATGATTTGGATTTTCCAAAGGCCACACCTAGTAACATGTGTTTTGAGGACATCACTGAACCAGTGACTTCAGTTTCATGTTATGTTGATCACAAGAAGTTACTGGTTTATAAAGACTCAGGGGATCCCTGTTCTTAGGTTCTCAGGAAAGAAAAGTCTCTGACAAGGAGAATCTTGAGGATCAGACCATCATGGAGGGAAGACCTACTTGGGCAGGAGCTTTGGAGGCTGCTCACCTCCTGCCAATCTCAGTGTAATTACTAGTCAAGGTGCTCTGTCACTTTGTCATCCTGGGGCCTCCTCCAAAGTAAAAGCAACTCTGGCTCAAAATAGGCATTTTAGCCTTTCCTTTCCCTTCTCAGACCCTGGTCCACTGAATGATGATATGCTGAATGAGTCTCTTATTTCCACCTATGCTAATTCATGGCCCTCCTACTTTCAACAGAGATGGAAATACTTACTGTTAATCCCAGGGCTACTTGAAGCATTAAGTGGCTTTATTCCTACCTAAGAAGATTCATCTTAGCAAAGATTAAGGATTGACCCAAAAGGGAAGGCTTTTTTCTTCTAACTTTGCCCATCACACAAAGCTCTCCCGGGACTGAGTGGACCCAACTGCAAGCCAGGAAGTCTGAGTTCCTCTTTCCACCTGTCATTATTTTCCTGCCTTGGCTTAATTTCTTCTATAGGCATTAGGAGTAGGGAGGTGTTAAAAAAAAAAAGAACAACATAGGGTTTCCCTGTAGACTTCATTTTTCATGGGGATTGCTGTTTGACCTTGAGGGAGTTATTTCACCTCTTCAAAGTCTCAAATTCCTCAGCCACTACTTGAAGAGTATGGACTGAGGCACTGTGAGAGCCATTAAACTAGTGACTTTTAAGTAGGATGTGGCTCTGATGCTAGGTAGTTTCCAGTCTGTTGCGGGAAGTGGCCTTTACACTTAGATAGCTCCCAGAATGAAATATGCCTGGCATGTACTAGGGCCTCTCTTAATATTTGTTGAATGAATGTGGAAACAAATATCACCATGCAAGTGCTACTGTTCTGAGCAGGCATGGCTCTGATGCTGAGAGCCCTAGGAGATACATAGGCAAGAGAGGATGAAAACACTGCAGTCAACAAGACCTCCAGGTGTCAGGGCTGGGACTGGAAGTGGCCAAGGAAGGGCTGGGAGTGGGCTCAACCTGGGGGTCCATGGATGGGCTTGGGCAAGGGGCTGAAATAGAAAAGTTTTCCAGGTTTTCAGAGGTGTGTAGGTAGTATATAGTTGGGTTAGGAAGGAAGGGCCAGAGCAAGAAGGCTGGGTGGAGTGGAGGGAAATGTTATCCCAAAAGAGGAATTAGCCCTTGAAAATTTCTGAAGTAGGAAAAGGGTAAAGGTGTGGTTGGTAAGGGCAAAGCAGGTTTACCCAGATTAACAACCAGTCAGGGCGGGGTGTAGTTGGGGGATGGTTAATTAAGTAATCTGAATGTGTACAGTTCAGTGGAGTTAGGAGAAGATGGAGAAAATGGATTGGCTCCCCAGACAAGAAGTCTGTAATCAGTCACTTGATGACCTCTAACATCTACCTTTATAGGCAGACAACTGTTGCCCATCTCAGGTCCTCTATATACCTCTCCTACTTGTTAACGTGCCCAAATGTATTTTAACCCACAAAACAGGAGGAACAATCCCCTCAAGAGAAGAGAGAGCAAGAAGATAGCAAGGCCGAAAAAGGACTCAGATCTTCCTCCAAGTTTAACTCATTAATCCCTTCAGGAAACCTGTGGCTCACACCTCCCCCAACACAAGCCCTATGCCTAGTTTAAGGGGGAGGGTGGCACTAGGAATTAGGCATTGGTGACATCATCGTCACACAGCCAGTGCCAAAAAATATCAAGTGGGTGGTTTTCATCATAAAAGCTGATCCAACTGGTAATTGAGGGGAGTAGGGTGACTCATGTTTGATGGGTAAGGAATGAAAACAGAGGGGGCCTGGGGTGATTCTGTTTCCTTGAGGCAGGGCTCATTCATCCTATAAAAAGCCAGCTACCCGCTGATTTCACATAAGACCGGAGCAACCAGACACCCCATTCTCGGTGTACAGGTAAGTCTCTGATTGGAACCAATTTGAAATTCATGTTTGCTTTTTTCATTATTAGAAACTGGATAAAGGCAAACATGTATAAGAGGACTGATGAGGATATTAATTAGAGACACAACACTGGGCATTTTAGATTAAAGCACAGTTTAGGTGTGAAGGGAGTTAGTGGCAGGTAAGTCTGCCACTTTAATGAACAGCTGTGGGACTGGGGGCCAGGGTGGGGACAGGTTTATACAAGTACCAACAGTGAGTTAGTGGCAGGGTTGTGACTAGGACTCTCAGGCCTGGGCACTTTCAACACCACTATTTTCTCTGTTTATGACACTTAATAAAAATGTTAATTCATGAGACGGGCTGCTACTATGCACTTGTTATGTTTCAGGCACTGTGTTAGGTATTTTGGGTAAATCAGACCGTTATTGATCTCATTCAGCAAGTTCACAGCCTATCAGGGAAGATAATGCATGCTCATACACAGATGAAATGCAAAGCAGATAGTGATTGATATGGGAACAGAGAGATAGGGAAGGGCTGTTTGGGGGAACCATGCCCAGTATCTCCTGCTGATCACGCAAGATGTGAGCTATAATGGAGGCATATTTGAATAAGCAGAAATGGGAAGGAGAGCACTTCAGAGCAGACAGTATAAGCAAAGGCAGAGTGAGGTCACAGGAGCTGAGACTCACAGAGGCATTTTGTAAGCCTTAGGTGGGCTGCACGGTCCTGGGGGTGGGTAGACTTCAGTTGTTTCTATAACGTTATTTTCCAAAAGACCTCAGTATGGTCCTGGGTACTTGTCAATGAGGGCTATGACATGTCTGGGGAAGAAAGGTTGCTGGGGAATAAGCCCCACTGAAATGGAGCAGAACAAATTGACTTTAACTCCTCCTCTTGAAAGGGCCCAGAAATTATCAAAGCATATTTTACTTTTCAAGTGTGTGTAGGGGTGGTCAGCCAGAGGAGGTGAGTGAACATTTGGCATTGAACTGGCTTCCATCCTAGATAATCCTTGGTCATATCATCTGTTCTTTGTGTAGGTCCAGCCTCCTGTGAAGCATGAGTTCCCACCAGCAGAAGCAGCCCTGTACCCCTCCCCCCCAGCCTCAGCAGCAGCAGGTGAAACAGCCCTGCCAGCCTCCACCCCAGGAACCATGTGCCCCCAAAACCAAGGAGCCATGCCACACCAAGGTTCCAGAGCCCTGCTGCCCCAAGGCTCCAGAGCCCTGCCACCCCAAAGCTCCAGAGCCCTGCCATCCCAAAGCTCCTGAACCCTGCCATCCCAAGGTTCCTGAGCCATGTCCCTCAACGGTCACTCCAGCACCAGCTCAGCAGAAGACCAAGCAGAAGTAATGGGGTCCACAGTCAAGCAAGCCCTGGGGAGCCAAACACCGAATGCTGAATCCCCTCTCCCATTCTGCTTCTGTGTCTTACAATTAGCATGATGTCACCCTGAGTCATACCCTCCCTCTTCACACCCTCTACAAAGATTTCCCTCCCATTGTTCTGCAGTGCTCTGAGCCTCTGAATGAAGCTAAGAGTCTCACTGGCGAGCTACTCTTTTAACTGCTCAGGGCTCACCCAAAGAGAGGCCTGGGGATCAAGTGGATCTTTCCTGCCCTGTCCCCATTAAATCACTTTTAACTCCATAGCTGGCTGTGCTTGTCATTGGCTGACTCAACTTTTTCATTGTTCTCTCATCATAAAGCAGGAAAGGGCCTGGCACAGGCCCTTGAGAGCATGGGTGCATGTGTGGGGGGGAGGGGCGGCGCTGGCAATGGGTCAAGGACACCCAGAGCCTGTTACTTTGGGCAGCCTTAGCTAGAGCAGGGCTTCTTTTGCACCTGAGTGAGTCTTATCTGAGTATAGATGGTACCTGTCTCAAGCCATCTCTGACTCAATCCTGGCCCCCAAGTTGCACTTTTTCTGTTTGGTTTATTTCTTTATTATTATTTTTTACCCCAAAGAAATAGTGCTTGTAAAAATTCCAATATGATTATTCCTGCATCTTCCCTTGCTGGTGGCCCAGCACATGGAGCCAAACCCTGAATCACTCATAGCCAGATACACACACACACACACACACACACACACACACACAGACTTCTGCACACACTGACACCACAAATCACATGACACCCACACACACATACATGCTGATTTGATCACACTAGTCTGTATTTATCTTTCACTGAGTCCCCTATGCTATAGCAGTACAAAGGAGTGTAGAATCCTTTGCCTGCCTAGGAGCCCAAGGTGGTGATCTTCACCCCTTTTCATGTAAATAAACACTCATGCAAATATGCATCTACGCCAAAGCACGCACTCACCTCCCCCTGCTCACTTTTGCCTCTCTCTCTCCCCAGCCTCCTTCCCCACATATACAGGGTACCTCTCCAAAGAGAACATCAAAATAAATACATCAAAGAGGAAAAAGAAAAGTTGGGTAGGTTTCAGAAGGAAGACATTTTAATGCAGATAAGACAGCATGAAATTAAGGTGATGAACAGGTCATCACCAGGCAAAACGTTAGGGTGAAAGGACACTTTAAAACACATAGCAAGCCTATTCAGCTTCCAGCTAAAAATGATATCCTTTCCCAGAAAAGGGAAGATAATTCATCAAGACCACCCAGAAATCATATTTTTAAGCCATATCCAGAGCCCAGTTCTTCAGATTCCCACTATCTGCTCTCTCCTTCAAGAAGATAATCATGTCTTCTTGACTTTGCTTGTGACCAACAAAAAGTCTGGAAGCTGAGAGATCAACAGGATTTCCACAGGGCCTGCAGTGGTTACTGGGAAATGAACTCTAAAACTTATAAAATAACAACAGGCAGATGTGAGGCAGCAACAGGTGACAGGTGTGTTACCCATCACCTGCCTCATACCTGTAGGATGTGCAAGCACTTCAGATATGTCTGGAAATAACTCCAGAGAAATTTGGAGACTATAAGACAAAAGTTATCCAGCAAAGCTTTGCAAGTTGTTGAGTAATCATCAGACTGGGAGGAGAGAATGATGTCACCTGGGTATGCAAGGTTTGTGCATGTCCAGGGGATTTCAGATTGCTGCTTGTTGGCATGATGGGTAATGTCAGCAATAACTCTAGAAGCAGTCACAATTATAGGGGCAGACTGTGACTGGAGACATGGTTGGTGACACACTGCTATAAGGGGCAGAAAGTAAAAATCTTTACACTCCTGCATGCTTTCTGCATTCCACTGGGAAATATGCATTCAGAAACACAATGATTTATTTATAAGTATCATCACTTCAACATTATATATAATAGCAAAAAAAGTTAGGAGGGAAACAATATAAATTATCCCAAAGGAAAATTGATGGAACAAAGCATTTTATATCTGTCATGAAATACATCACGATCATAAAATAATATTTAGTCATATGGAAAAATGCTCAGAAAATTTCAAGATCATTTAAAATTTGGCATATGACACATAACATCTTTGTTAAAAATCTGTGGAGATATGTATAAATTTTTAAAAATCTGGCATAAAATACAGCAAAACTTAATCAGTGACTATATTGGGATGGAGAATAAAAGGTATTGGTTATTTTATTCTTTGAATGACTCTGTATTTAATTAATTAATTAAGAATACAGTGGTGGGAAGGGCAGAAGGAAAGAGAGAATCTTAAGCAGTCTCCAGGCTTAGCACAGAGACCGACACAGGGCTTGATCCCACTACCCTGAGATCATGACTTGAGCTGAATTCAAGAGTCATATTTTAACCAGGTGAGCCAATCAGCCACCACTAAATGTCTCTATATTTTATACATATTCTACATCATAGATTGGAATTATATTTATTTATAACACTTCTTTCACATGTTTAAAAAAAGCAAAAGCTGTCCAAGATGTTGATGAGCTAGAGAAAATATGTTTTCCAGAATCTTCTCAAAGCCCTGGAGCGATTTCCAGGCAAGCTGCTCACAAGGAAAAGAGGAGGGTACAGTTAAGGTTTTTTTTTGTTGTTGTTGTTTTGTTTTTTTAATGACATTCTATACAAACCCCACGACCATTGAGGGTTAAATAAGGTTATGGGGTAGGTGCCAGCTGCTCTTCCCTCTGCTCCTCTCTTCAGTAATAGAATGCCATTCTCCCAGCCAACAATAGAGGGCAGGGTACTGCTTTCGGGTGAGGAATTTAAGGGAGAAACTGCACACAAGTTGGGATTGTAGGTGCATGTGCGGTTGCAATCCCACCTGTGCAGATAAAAGAATGCACATTTGATTCTCTTCATGGATATATCTTGGTTTCTTCACGGTCACCTGAAGGAGCACCTCCATTTCCATGTGTGCTGAAGGGAGAAGATAGTACCTAGTTTAGATGAGGACTGTTCAGTAAGGGAGTTCAGAGAGACTGTGGGCTGTTTTCTCCTGTGTCTGACTCAGTAGAGCCTCTTTTCCAGGTGTCTATACCAATCTGTTTTCCAGCTAGCTTCCTGCATCTGCCTAGGTAATGTCCTTGACTCCCCACCAGGTTGCTCCTCCTGTTTCCCTTCTCCTCCTGTCTCTTTTCTACTATATATTCAACACCCCCACTCCAAGCACCCCACATCTCTGTAGAACCAGGTGTCTGTCAAATGGTAGGAGTTTATTTGATGTCTGCTGGGACGTTGAATAGTCTGTACCTTCACCAGAAGATGCTGTGGATTTGAGGGGAATTCTGAACCTCGCTCGGTGAAAGCTCAATGCTTGTGTCATTCAAACTGCCAGATGAAGTGGGGTCTCCAGTCCTGAGTCTTTGCCTGACATAGTATCATGGCTGCCCAATCCTGTTAGGATTTTCACAGGGCTTGCGTGTTAACCCCGCTGTTCTGCTTCCCCATGACAGGGGCCTCCTGACTCTGAAAATGGCTCTTCCTCATAATTGCCACTCTTTTAAAATCTGATTCTCAATCTGTATTAGAGAATCAATCAGGTGAGTTGGAATTATTGATATTCATGAATTAAAAAAAAAAACACACATGACAGATATCAGGGTATGATCTCTTGGAACATCTGCATCATTTTCTAAAAACCTTTAGTTTCATTGTGCATAATAATGATTATTTCTTATGAATACAATTTAGAATTTGAATCCTGGAGTTTTTGTTGAATCCAACCAACATTTGCTGTTTCACAAAAGAATTTTCTTTGATGACATAAGAATGGAGGATCTATATAAGATAGAATGAATTGCTGAAGAGGAAAAAAAAAAAAATAAGAAGGCAGCCACTCATTAAAATCATAGATTTAGGTGATGAAAAAATACCCTCACAGATTAGAGAATTTCCCAGCTCATAATATAATAATATAATAATATAATAAATAAATAATAATTTTAATCAGATTTGAGTTTAATTACATTTATGTGTTAAATCTTCAAATATTTATTAATTCATTAAAATTACCAAATATAAATCCATGGCAAATTCACACATAAACAACTATATTTTCCTAAACAAAAGAATTGGTTATAAGAGTAGCACTGCTTTAAAAATACCTTTAATGTCTGTATTAGTGGAATATAGTTGGTCTCTCATATCTGCTTCTGCATTCAATCTGTTGTGATGTGTTGTTTTGGTTGAAGAATATGGAGAAACTACAGCTTCACACAGATATGTAGTTGGGAAACAGAGGAGTATTTTAGTGACTTTCATATAATTAATTATGGATATCCTTTGACACTATACCAAAACTCAACAGATAGTGGTTTCCTAAAGATTAGTTGTGGAGAGAAGGAAAAGCTCTTCTCAACTTTCAAGGTCTTTCAACTGAACTAAAAATTAAATATTTAATTTAAGATTAAATAGATGAGATAGATTAACAGGAGGGAAAAAAAACCCACAAAGTTTTATTCCACACACATGGAAGCCCAATAAGGAAATTGAGAACCAAAGAAATGACCAAGACAGGCAGTTTTTATAACTTTTAGAAAGAGAGACAATAAAATCTGTGAGGAATTCATAAGACTAGGAAAACTTAACTTTGGGAGTTTATTTAATAAGGGATTCTAAACAGAGTTTGGACCTGGGGTGGTAAGTTAGTAAAAAGTATACAGTCTTCTCTACTCTAAATTTCCCCCCTCTGGTGATAATGATGTCTCTTTACCCCTGCTACAGGGAGGGTACATTTCACATGGGGAGATTTATTGCCTGCTTTTGGGGGAACGGAGGAAAATCTGACTATCCTTATTTTTTTTTTTCTCTTAAGTGACTTTTGTTTAAAATAACCAGTAAGATGGAACTAGAGGGTTTTATGCTGAGGGAAATAAGTCAATCAGAGAAAGACAATTATCATATGACCTCTCTGATATGAGGAATTTGAGAGGCAGGGTGGGGGGTTG